CGTTGAAGGACAGTGTGCAGTGTGCTAGCTGAAAAAATAAAATATAGCTTGATATGGGTGGTTGATACATAAACATATACATATACACACACACATACACATACACATACACATTCATATAATATATACCAAATCCTGGGCTTGGTAGTAATCAGAGAAACTCTTAAGGCTGCTGATCCTGCCAGACACGTGGTACAGCAGTTCAGTGTGCCCGGGCTTGCTGCAGCTGCCTTCCACATGCAAGAAGCCACCAGAATGCCACTTTTGAGAATCAGTAGTAAATGGAGAAAATTACATGTGAGGTATATCCGAAATATGTGAAGTGGAGACTGACTTATCCTGTAGTAGAGTGTATAGCAAGTAGGCTGAACGCTTTTTATACAATGCACAGAGTTCTTTAAATTTTAAATTTTAATAAGTGGCATAACTTGAAAGACTGCCAGGGATAAAACATCACTTTGTAAATAAACCTGAGTGACTTACACAAGTTAATTTAGAGGACTAAAATGAGTCCTCTAAATTTTCATAGCCTTTCATGTAAAATCATTGGAACTCTAAGATCACAGTATTCAACTTTTGCAGCTTTTAGGTATTGTTATAATTATTACAGAGCTTGCAAATATAAAGAAACTGAAATTTACCTCTACCAAACAAGGAACTGAATGTACTGTATGATGAGAACACAGACATTATAAAAGACTTAATTTTTGAAATTTATAATTGTGATTTGGAAAATCTCAACTTGTGGAATCTTTGGATGGAGCTTTTGCTTCTAATTGGATGAAACTATATTTTGTATCTAAATGGATTAAAATTGAGATGACATAATTTTGTAGTATTTAAACTTGATTGAAACCATCAAAATAAACATACATTTTCAAGACTTATATGATGAGCTTTGTTTTGTAAAAATACTTGTTGCACAATATAACTAAGTGAGCTTTAAAAAAAGACAACAGCTAGGAAAAGATTTGAACTGAAAAATTTGTACATTTCAGTATAGAAAAATTAGAATGAGAATAGATTTTATTTAGCAGTGTGTTTTGAGCTTAATACGTATCTCACCACTTAATTTTCCATTTAAAACATTATAGTCTTCAGAGAAGCATTCGTTAAAGCTGTCAGTAATTTCAAATTCATGTGAAACTGTGATTTCAGGAAATTTTATGAACAAATTAAAAATAAGAAAGGCCACATTGAAAAAAATTGCATTCTTTGGAAAAATGTGAGTATATGGTATTGGAGAAAATACAACTAAGAAACTGATTAAAGTATGTAAATATGTACCAAGAGTAAGTATTCTGCTTATGACACGTTTAACATTTAGGCAATTGATAAAAAGAAGTTTCGGCCGGGCGCGGTGGCTCAAGCCTGTAATCCCATCACTTTGAGAGGCCGAGACGGGCGGATCACGAGGTCAGGAGATCGAGACCATCCTGGCTAACATGGTGAAACCCCGTCTCTACTAAAAAAAATACAAAAAACTAGCCGGGCGAGGTGGCGGGCGCCTTTAGTCCCAGCTACTCGGTAGGCTGAGGCAGGAGAATGGCGTAAACCCGGGAGGCGGAGCTTGCCGAGAGCCGAGATCCGGCCACTGCACTCCAGCCTGGGCCACACAGCGAGACTCCGTCTCCAAAAATAAATAAATAAATAAACTTTAAAAAGCTTCATAAAATTTTATATGTGTGTGTGTATATGTCACTGTTAAGGGTTTTCTATTAAAGAAAGCAAAAAGCAATAATAAAATGTGAAATAAATTTTAAAGCAAAAAGCATAAAATTCTAACTAAATAGGTCTGAAGACTAATTACAGCTTAGTTACAGTTGATGTTATTTAAAACAGCATTCCATGACAGTGCTTAGTTATCATAAATGAGGCCCACTAAACAAAAAGTTTCGGTAACTTCTCGACTGGGCAGAAATTATTTTAAATATCACGTTAGCAAACGGCTTAATAGAAACGATAACATGATGTACATATTTCTCATTTAAATTTTCCTCTAAATATAAAATTTTACAACCATGAAACTGAAGGAGTCAACCTATTCAATGACAATAAAGCTGCGTGGCAAACAAGCTAAGTGGGAATTAAAACCGCTTAAGTAAAAACAAGTCAAAATTGTAGCTTTTTAAAAATCAATTTTCATCCCCCTAATTCTGGAGAATTTATACTCTGCCTCTTCTGCTTGTGGTTTAGGAAAGAAGCCCCAAATTCAGGGTACATGTATTAAAATTAAATATTAAGATCAGTAAACCTCAATTGGCACGAATAAACAATATGAAAGAGTAAGCACAAATACGATCTATTTGTTTACCCATTTTTCTAAATGTGACAGCTATACTATGAAATTCCTAAAACCAGATGGGAGACTGGCTTAATATTTTGGCAAATAAACACATTCAAGTTAATGAGGAATGGGAGATAGAGCACTCTGGATTTTAGCATAAAAAATTAGAATAGAAAGATGCTACATTTCCTATTCCATCAGTTGACGGTATACTTATTTTCCTGGCAGGAATTTGCAATCTAAGCAACTCAGGTCCAGTGAGTGCAAACAACTGACACGCTTAGTCCAACAGGCCCCTGTGAGCAGGCCCTCTAGGGCATTTCCTGACGCCACAGAACCAAGGACCTTTCCCTCTTTAGTGGACGCTGCGGGTGATCAGGTGGCCCTGAGGAGCAGGGGCCTGAGACCCAGTCAAGCCTGCTGTCAACCTCCCTCTGATGGAGGCCACGTCCTTTTCATGAGGCTGTTAGGAACGCCATCCTAAACCCCCACTATTTCTATTTTTGCAACATTCTTCCCAGTCCTTTCCTTCCTTCCCTTCGTCCCAGCCAAAGTAAAAGCATCCCTGGAATTTAATGGATTGAAAGGAGACCGGACGACTGAGGGGTAGAACGGGGCCTGAAGTGGCTTTGGAAGCAAGGGGGTTAAGGGAAAGACCAGAGGGTTGAGCAGGGAGAGGCAAGAGGGTTGAGCAGAGAGAGGGAAGAGGCAATCTCCCCCTACCCAACTGCCCCTCCCAGGAGCAGATACGGCCCCAACAGCCGGAGAATCCCTCCGGCCTGGAAGACAAAGGAAGGATCAGGGCCCAGTGGTGACGGGGAGGGTGAGGGCAACGACTCGCGTGAGCTCGGGGACGTGAGAACGCAGCCCCCGCCCCGTTCTCCGCCTCCCCTGAGAAAGGCGG